GCTGCAGAAGCAGAAGCAGAGACAGAGCATCTCCAAGAGCTGCTGCTGGTGCTCTTTTCTCCCCTCCACCCCTGGGGACAGGACTGTCCATCTTATGGCAAAGCCTCCTAGTTGGGGCATTGTTGTTCCCCAGATATACAGAGTATGGGGCCATGCAGGACTTCTAGGGACAGGAAGGGGCTGCACAGGGTTACCCCTCCTGTGGCAAAGACTGCTTGTGCAAAGGGGCCATACTGGAGCCCCCTCATGGGTGGCATCCAGGGCTGGTACCCCAATCACTCCACACTAGTTAGGCTACTGGTCTTATCTCCCAGTATAGGCAAAAACAAGAATAATCTGAAAAGCTTTGTGTGTACACACATCTCCAGGAAATTACTTCCCTGTGAAGTGTGCAATAAGCATTTTTCAAGGATTTTTCTGTACTTCAGGCATAGCTCTGGCAGAATCCAGGTCGTCTGGAGGCAGGACGACATTTAAAAACAAAACCAAAAAAAAATCACTAACTGATTTTTTTCCTTTCTTCCTTCCTTTCCTTCTTTCCTCCTTTCTTTCCTTCTTTCTAACCAATTAAGTTCAGGTTAGTATACGTAAAGCTACAGAGCAGTCCTTATTTCCTCCAAACCAAATTGTTTAACCCCTATACTAACCCTTAAAAGGATCAACTCATCTCTGCATGAATGAAACATTTGCAAATTTCCTAAGAACTTAGGGCCTACAAACAAGCTACTGAGCGACAAGACCTAAATAAGGACTATAATAAAAGAGCCTTAGGATTCATAAGGCACATCTTATCTGTGTCTGATACATACATAGTTATCTAACATATGACTTTAAAAAAATCAGTATCCTGCAAAGTCTTGATGTTGCTGAAAACAAAACAGCATTCAACATGAGTTATTAGGAACCATTGTCTAACACTTAGTCAGGGGTTACTGGGGGAGGTGGGTTGACAAACTAAAAAGGAGGACAGTGAAGGAGGGAAAGAAGTGAAACTGGCAAGCTTGAGCACAGAACATTGATTAATGAACAAAAAACATTTTTGAAAGGTCGGGTGCACAAGTCAGACTAGCCCTGAGGCAGATCTAACTTACATGACCAGCACTTTCTGTACGCAGCAGGTAACCCATGCTGACACCAACTTTGCCGACATTACAGGGTTATTATTTTTGGAAGGATGTAGTGTTCTGGAACAATTTCTCTAATATATTAGCTAAAACCAAGCTTTCCCTCAACATCAAGCATGCACGTCTTAGTTTTCACCTTGTTTACATTGTACTCTGAACATTATTATACCCAATGAAAACACAAAACCTTATTCTTCATGTGTAAGTTCTTCTATTTCCCTTCCATAATACATCCCAGAGCAGCAACCTTGTACATCACCTCATTCTAAACCTGTCTCAATGTTCTGGGTTCTCCTAGTAAGATCTGAATATTTATTGTGATTTTTTTTTTTAGTAGGAGTCTATTGTCTGGAGACTAGACTTGGTTTTCCTCTTGTAGACTACTAATTGTATGGAAATGCAGAGATACCAATGAAAAAGAATGCTAATACAGTAGATTTAAGACAGTATCATCCAAACCTTTTGGACAGAGAACAAAGACAGATCTCTTAGATTATGAAACTAAATTTTCCTTGTCTGCTATGTAGTGATGAAAGATACTTCATCAGGTAATAATTAAACCAACCCCCAACTCTAATGTGATTTCAATGAGATTTTTACCTCTGTACATTAGTGTGGAACTGAGTTGAGAACTATGAAGCTAGCAGTGAAATGCATTCTATAAACTATTGATGAGAACCTGATAATCAAACTCTTTATAGAAAGAGTAAGTTTGTTGCTCACAGCACCCTTAGAAAAAGTAACAACCTCACACAACTCTTGAGGTAAGTTAGGTATTCTCTTTTGCCTGAATAGAGACTGGCGAAGAAACCAGGTCTAGCAGACTCTGTCTATAACTGAATCATTCTGGGTGTGAATAAGCATTCATGAGACCTGACTTAGGTTTCATCAGCTTAATTTAAGGTGCTGAAACCTAAACCAGGAGTGGCATGTGTAAGCATTCTCCACTGCCAGGAGTAGCATGGGGAGCCTGAGCTAAGTAACTTGAGGCCAGTAGGGGCAGTGGAAGCTGAAGGGTTTGCAGGTGTGTTTGGTAGGTCCATGGGGAGGGGTTGCCAGGTATGGGAAGAGAAGTCAGGAGGCTAGTAGCCTGGTTAGGGTCGGGGAGGTAGGAACAGCACAACCTTGGGGCTGTGCTGTGAATGCATGCAGACATTCACTAGACTGGGTTAACCTATTTTCGACTGGGTTAACCCAAGTGGATCTAAAGTTAGTTCCCTTCTTGAAATGAACTATCTTAGACTGGGCATGCCATTTTGGAGGGCAATTTAAGCCCTTTGAATGCCTACATGCCAGGGCATTTAGATTGACGTCACATCTTGGTTAGGTCAATCTAAACGTAATGCTTATACATACCCTCTGAGGAGTTCCTTTTGTTATAAAGCACCTGGGTAAAACAATGGCCCTTATCTGAAATAGCTTGAGCTCTGTATTAAAAATCAGGGCTTTGTAATTTTTAACTGAGAGGTTTTATAGTTTGGATTGCAATAGGTAAAGGAGGAGACACTATTCTAAAAGCAGAAACAGGGATACCTACTGTGATTTAAATACAGAATCTCAAAAGTTTTTAAAATGCTTAAATCCCATTGGAGGACCAAAGGGAGGTAGGCATCTAAACACCACTTTGGATCTGAGCCTTACTCATATCAGCAGAAATTTCTCTGGTGGGCAAAGTCAGAAAGATGTTTTCTGACAAAAATCAGATGCAAATCTAATGCAACTAAATTAGCTGGTGAAATATCCTGAACCCCTGTATAACTAACGTATCTCCCAATGAGAAAGGAGAGGTTGTTAGCCGTGTTAATATGAAGTTAGGTAAAAGGTAGGCGAAGGTAGCACCTTAGGCTGGATCCAGATCTGCAGGCATGTGCGGTTTTTAGTGTACATGTTGCACATTAAACGGTGTGCCAGGCTGCTAATTTGAAGCACTGGGGAAAAATCTGCTACTGGGATTCCCTGGTAGCAAAAATAAACTCTGAAAAGAAAAAAGGCATGCAAAGAATGCCAAAATACCACGTGCCAGAACAAATGGAGATGGAAGTCCAGAGCTACCAGCTCCCCCATCTCTGTGCATTTCAGAGCCCCTGTGCTGAGGAACCCTGTGCCCCAGTCAGTTGGGGGGTGGCTAGCTGGGGCCCAGTGTGCCTTGAGACAGGGGCTCCACATGCCTCATCACGGAGACAGGGGAGCAGCCAGCTCAGAGCTGCAGGCTCCTCCATCTCAAAGCACGCTGTGCCCCAGACAGGTGGGGAACATCTGGCTGGGGCACAGGACGCCTCAGCACAGGGGGGTCCACAACGTATGGAGACAGGAGAGCAGGCAGTCCTGGGCTGCCTGCTCCCCCATGTCAATTTGCTGCTCGCCAGCTGGCTGGGCCACAGGGTACCCCAACATGGGGGCTGTCTGCCAGCTAGCCCCTTGCTGAGGCACACTGTGTCACAGTCAGCCCCACCTCGACCCTTGCAGTGCATGCAGCATCAGGACAGTGTGTCCCACTGCAAACCGCCTAAGCAGGGCTGTGCACTGCAGCACAAAGTAGTGGCATAAATTTGTGCCATTATTATACATGCGGCTGCAAATGCATTCCTCTGCTCATGTGGATGCAGCCTTAGGCCTCCTATACACATGCAGGGAGGCTGCTGCAACGCACTGTAATATCAGCACGTCGGAGCAGACTTGATTAATTGAATTACCACGTAATTACATGGTATCAATGTAATTACCACACTCCAGCAGACTCCAGCATCATGTGTATCAGCGTCCCCTGCACTGAAAAATGGCAGCGAGGCACTTTGAACTGAAGCTCATTGAATGAGCTTCAGTTCAAAGTGCCCCGCTGCCATTTTTCAACATGAGGACACCGATACACATGACGCTCCAGGTGCTTTTATTTAGTGTGGCTCTTGGAGCCCTTAGAGCTCTTGGAGCCTATAAATGCCCTTAGAAACTAACTGGTTCACAACAGCATAAGTTTTTGTAAACACTACACTACTTTATCAGATACTATGATTGGACTCGCAGAAAGCAGGAGTTCTAAATAGAAGGGAATATAAATACAAAAGGATAGTGGGAGGAAGCACTGCTGAGATCAGTGAAGATGGGTTGAATACATCAGTAGGGATAAACAAGGCAATTAACCCAGTGAGGAACATGTAGGTTATAAAAGCTAGTTCAGGTAATGGGAAAAGAATCCAGAATTTCTGCTGAAACCATGCTTGACACAATCCAGTTTGTGAAAGATTTATTTTCATGCAGTTTCTCATTTAAATTGTTTTTTAAAGTGTTGTTGTTTAAGAACACTAACTCCAACATCAGTGACAGAACGTCCAGGGAAGTTAATGTGAACTGACACATGCTTTGGTGTCTTTTTGGAATTGATGTCAGATTGATGTCCATTCATTCTTTAAAATAGGGATTGCCCCATCTGTCCAAAGTAGACAGCAGAGGTGCACCATAAGCAAGTGATGGAATACATGATGTTGGTAGAGGAGCAGGTGAATGAACCCTGGATGTTATGATCTGCATTGTTTGATGAGGTGGGGGGGACAAACTTGCCCCCCAAGGCTGCCTTGAGATGGTCATCATTTTCCGAGATGGGCTGGAAGTCATTAATGTCCAAAGGGTTGAGGGTGATTGTTAGTGTCCAAGGTATTCAAACACGGGGCTATGGGTAACAGCCAGAGGGATTCTGCTGTCCTTGTAATGGAGTTGGTATTGTAGCAGTCTAGAACAAGGTCTGATTCTGGCTCTGTTGATTTGGTTAGCTACAGTTTTGAGATTGTACTTTAAGTGTAGGAAGCTACTTTCCAGGTCCCTAAGGTTTACATCCCAGTCAGTGGGATCACAGCAGATACAGCTGTAACAAAGAGTCTGGTTTTAGATGATAGATCTAGTGGTATAGTTGAGATGAAAGCTGGTGGCAGGGAGGTAGCTATAGTGGTCAGTTGACTTCTGATACAATATGATGGTGATGTGGACATTGAAAAAATTACCCACTTTCCAGTGACTTTCCAACAGGAAAGTCTGCTTTCTAACCTGTACTATACAATTTGATTCATTTAATGGTTCCTTTGCCTTCTTTGCATTGGACGAATCACCTACTTCAATGTAATCAATGTTACTATGGCTTGATTCTAGCCTTACTGCCTGTTTTCGGATTATGTAGAGAAATACAAAAGAATAATAATGATTGAATTGACTGAGATGCTCATTCCAGGGAGGACTATTTGGACTCCTGCACATGAGCTGGTTGGAAACTTTCAGATTAAACATTCTTGGACAATGGTAATTTATCAAAACCAAAACGGTTTGGTAGAAAAGGTCAGTTCTGATAAATCTTCAAATTCCAAAATTAACAAAGAATTGCTATGGAAATGTTGAATTTTACTCATTTTAACAGTCTTGAAATGAAAAATTTTATTTTTCCATTTTACTATGATCCTCCATTTCAAAATTTAGTTACTTCATACTAGAAAATGTCTATAAATAAAAAAATCAAAATGGATAAATGGTTGGCAAAAACTGCTGAAGTTTTGATTTTTTCAGTTTAGAACGGGAACATTTTTTCAAATTTCAAGATGGGAAAATTGTTTACCACTCAGCTGTAATAAACATCAACTGACCTGAATACAAGCTGCTTATCTCCAGGCTACCTGAAGGCTACCTGCTGTGTCTAACAGGTGGTGTGTTCTCTCCTGGAATTTTCTTTTCTCAAACTAGTATCATCTCCATGCTTTTAGGAGCATTCTCTTCCCTAGTAGCCCACTGATATGGAAAAACTAGTGAAAAAGAGATGATCTTCCCTCCCCTTATCTACTTGGGAATCAGCTGCTTTATTCAGGCAGAATTCACTAGCCAAGGAGGAATGAATACACCAGTCAAACACTCTCCAGAAAGAAACTGTTCAATCACTGGAAAAAATGCATACTTTTCTGGACATATTAACAAGCTAGGAAGAGTTTGACTTTCTTCTCTCTCCTGTGACTTAGTGAGGAAAGACACTGAGGCTGTATAATGCACACACCATTAGGTTTTGCAGTCAGGCAAAGGAAGGAACTCACCGGTCCTCATAAAGTTTTACAGAAGATTCAGAAGGAATAACCTCTCTGACCTCAGCAGTGATAGCATTAGTGTGACTAGCCTGCACTATGGTAATCTACAAGATGATTAAATTAATGATTCCTTTGCCCTCTTTGCCTTGGCAGAGTTTGCCACTTTAAAACACTGCGTTACTCAAGTTGGACAGTTCATTTCACAGTAAAAAAGAGGTGTCTCTACATTTATACTTGGAATTCGTATCTGACATCCCACTGACTAAAATCAACTGGGCTATGTACTGCAGAAGTAGTATTCATGAATATTTGTTCAGATTCAGGATGCCTATTCTGTTGGACGATGACTGTGCAATATGGCAGGAAATTCACATGAGTAGGGCATTTCTTCATATGCATGTTTTTTCTTCCTCCCTACATGCAGAAGGTGGGCAGATCTACACATGTTCCCGACTGCACAGTTGTTACTGTACAGCTTTTGCAAGTACTAAATGACTGCGCAGCAATCACCATTACTGTGCAGTCTCAGCGTCACATGGCTTGTTTCTAACCCTACTGTGCAACAGCAACAAGCTACTGCGCAGTAGCACTGGCATCACGGTTCCTGCCAACGCTACATCACTGCAGCATCTCGTGTAGATGCACCCACTGTTCATTATTTTCTATTTAATATATACTATTTCCAATCAGGAAAAAAAATTTGATTTCAGACTTGTCTATACCACCTCCATGCTCTCCACTGCCTTCTATTGCAGCATGTACCATATCCCAGAAAAAGACAGTAAAGTCATGTTAGAGCAGCCCTAAACACAGATCCAAGTGCTTCTCTCAGGTTCTCTAATCCAGATGTGCTTTTTGGTGCACACACAGGGCCTGCCATAAGGTGATGACTTTAGGGCTGTGCAAAGTTTCAGTCCTTGATTCAATTCGGCGGAGATTCAGCCCGATTCAGTGGCCAAATCTCTGAACCTGAATTGAATCAGAGGACCCTTTAATCTCTCCAAATCAATGCGGAACCCTCCAAATCAATTTGAAGCGATTCAGACAGGTTCCGGTCCACTTCCTAGTCCACTGGGGAGTACTCAGGGGGGACTCCCCACATCTCCCCCTCTGGCTCAGTGACTGGTACCTTCTGGGTCAGGGGGACACCTGGGGTCCCCCTGTGGCTGATCACCAAGCCAGGGGGCATGGTGGAGGGCCCCCAACGCACTCCTCAGTGTACTTCCAGTCCACTTCTGGCTTTGTTTCTGAGCACTCTAGAGAGCCCCCCGTGCTCCTATGGGACACTCCATATGCCCCAGCACTGCAGCGATCACGAACCACACCTGCTACCTCAAGGTATAAAGAAAAACTTTTGAAGCTGTGCTTGTGTTCAAATCACTGATTCACCAAATTAGCATCAAATCTTGAGATTCGGATTCAGCTGAATCAAATCAGGAATAGTGATCCAAATCAACGGATTGAATCACTGTCCTCAATTTGGGTTGAATCTGAATTGAATAGGGCCCATTTCGCACAGCCCTAGATGCCACTGCTTCACTTCTGGGATTTGATGGGTACTGGGTATGAGTGAGGAGTAGAGGGGGAAATGGAGGAAGGGAAGAGAAGTGGGTGGTGGGTGGTTCTTAGTTTGTACAACACCTAGCACAATGAAGTCCTAGTCCATAGCTAGAGCTGTAATATAGATTATAATAAGAGTTTCTGTTCAGAAAGAGCATTAGAACAACGAGCACATTTGCAAAAATCAGGATAAGTTCACAAACAGTAAAAGAAGTTTACATGTGTTAGATAATTTATTTGTAAACAACAACTCAACCATCTTTAGACATTAGATACAACATTGAGCAACTGACACACAACAATCCTGCCATGCACAGCATGCTTAGGCAAGAAAATATGTGTGCCTTAGTCACAAAAGACAGAATAGAGCCTCAAGTGCTTGGGTTTATTCCAAAATAATCCAAATGCTGCTTTTTTTGGCAAATGGGGGTCAGTGAAGCTAAAAACTCACAGAAGGTTTTGGGCATTCATGTGTTTATATACACCCACTCTGTCATTTATTATTCTAAAGCTACTTTACTCAAATCAAATTACATAGCTGACAAGCTGCATAGATAAGAAAGAATAAAAGTTAAATTTAAAATTAGCTGACAACACTACATGATATAGTATCTATTTGGCACTTTTAGAGTGAGTGATGAGAGTTACCTAGGGAAAAAAATTGCACCTTCCTAAATTGCACCTTAAATTATTAAATAAATTATGAAGATGATGGAACGTAT